ATACACATATGGATAGTATCTTGCGCCAATTCACTCGCAGAATTTTCGGGCTAAGCGTCTAGTTTCAAACATTCTGAGTACCATCATGAAATCTTTAGCTTCGTGATCTATCACCCAACTTGAAACTTGAAGTTGTGGGAGCCAGTGGGAGGGATGTAAAGAGAAAATGATTGGATCACACACACATCCCAGATTCTGGAAACGTTTCATTTCTACTGTCTCCCTAAAGTGGAATCACCGCAGGTGGCTTCAACGAAATGTTTTACACAAGGTCGGAGGTATAACTGGTAGGTAAATCTAATCCGTTCATTGAGTTATGTAATTCATCCAATGAAAACAATCAAACAATCCAGTTATTGGGACCTGGCGAATATGGTTTAAAAGGTAGAGTTAGCTGTAAAATAATATTTAAATAACTTTGCACCTACTTCGAACTGGAAGCAGTTATAGTTTATCAGCTTTTCCTGACGTATTAGGATTGCCTCACAATGGGTGCCTATACACTTGCAACACTATTGTGATCACGCTTCTCCCTGGAAACTCTGCCGAATTTGTTTTTGTTTGTGCCGAGTAGTGTGCTCCATCACTAGCGAGCAATTAGGCGTCCAAATTGACCTTTCAAAAAACGTTTTCTTCATGGAAGTTTTTAACTAGTCGGTATTATGTAGTGAAATATGGTCAATTGAACTCCATAAGTGCTTGTCGCAAATGACATTACCACTCAATTTGGCATTTTCTCTGAAGGACTTGAAAGTTTTCTGACGATAACATTGTCAAAAAGTTAGATTCACACGGACCGTTGTAGATAAGGCGTATATAGTACTTACATGACCCATAAATTAGGGCGTTTGGTTTTCTGCAGAGCTTCGCAAATTTTACTCACGCTTGATAAACTGGGTTGGTGGTGTACACAACTGAAACAATTGCAACGTTTCCACCATTGAAGCAAACTGCTCCACTGCCACTCCCATAATGATGACACTACGGAATATTGCAAATTCACGGGAAAGTTCTCAGCTCCCAAAGAGGCACTACTAAGCGCTTGATTGACGTTGGGATAATTTGTGATCATCTTTACAGCTTGATGGGGCTGAGTTGTAGTTTGGCTTTATTTAAATTGCATGAAATCCATAATTCCGTCAGATAGGAAACCCAAGCAATTCAGATGGCTGAGTGAATTATGTTTCTAACGTTTGCTTCTTTTCTCACTTCTTTTTTAAATGGGTCAATTTTCAGCTGAATTTACCTTCGAGCATAGCCTCGACACGAATTTTTGTCACCTACGACCAACAATAAATTTGTGTTCGACTGTCAACTGTGTGGAGAGTTGCACAGTGTTCTAATGTCGCAAAACCTCTTGGTCCCGTACCGACATATATTTTTTTGGAAAATCTTGCTACGTCAGGGCCAGATGATAGCCTCTTATCCTTACTGACGAATTTGTCGTTATTACTAAGGCTGAAGAATTTCATATGAACCTACAAATGGAAGGTACGTAGCGTGTTAACTCACCGCGAGCTTCTTCATTGATACGACGAATTTAGCGCACCCAAATGAAGATGGAAAAAGGGGGCCACAAGCATGCAGGGACCAACGAAGTTTTGCATAGTATGTTCTATGGATAAAAGTTCTACCGCTGAATATTAAATTCAAAGAGAAACCGTATTGAATTATTCTGCGCTCGACAATTTGATTGTTAGTCTCTATACGAAAAATTCAAATAAAACTCTTCAATGAAGTTTATCATCATTTCCAGCTGGGAAACAGTGTAATTGCCTACAGTGGCGATCGCTACCACAGTTTTGTGCGCTGATGATTTGTAGAGGTGGGTAGATAGTTACGCGTTGGATGTGGTCACTAGAGATCTCGGTGAAGTGTTCACTGTAGCTGTTCAGAATGAATGATATGCACTGAAGGCATGTGCACCAATCAACCCGCGGCTGCGTAATGCCTGCGAATATCTCCAAGCATCGATGCGTCCATTCTAGGTGCCAGGCCCAGGAAGACCACAGTGACGAGCGCAACTGAAGCTGTCGCTAACAGCTTTCATACTTCACTGATAAGCCATTTTTAGACATTTCACGGCTCATTTCCACTTTTCACGTGATTATCAAAAAGTGCACTACGAGGAATTTGGCCGACTAACATACGGAGTACGTGGCCAAGCCACCCGTCCCTGGCAAGTTATCTCTTCCAAAAATCATCCGATGTACTTCAGCAGTGCTAATCCGGTGTTCTTATCAGACTCGGGCAACGCTCCAAACATGGTCAAATACGGAAAGATTTTTGACGTTCTTGGCGTCCTGTAGACAGGTTTGTGATCTACGTAATATATATACCGCAGCATTACATTCTTGACAGATAATTTATTGTGACGCCTGCACAACAGATGATCCAGGTTAACAAAAGCTGCTTTGGCCTTCCCAATATGGAGGGAAATGTTGTTTTTGGCTAGACCACCGGTAATGTTACAACTACTCATTTGACTATCGGTTTAGCCGGATGATCCACTAACACGGCAGTAACCGTCAAGCTCACTTTACATTTTTCAGGTGTGAAGCGGACGCCAAAGCGTGAGACAGGGTTAGAACATTTAACATTTTTTGAAAAGGAATAGCCACTTTTGACACCACTTGCTGTAGTGAGCTCAGGTGAGAGCTTCTCGTAAACCCTCATGCATACGCTGAATTTGGCGTGCGGCACGTTAAAAGGGGATCTTAATTTGTGGGAACACCTGTGTCTCATAGACATTACCATTATATCTGATGGTCCACAAGTTCAGAGGCAGCTTTCAAATCAAGAGAGACCACCATTGGTTGTTGCTTTGTTTTCCGAGCTTAGCAGTTGGATTGCAAACGTTCTCCCCATTAATCGAGGTGGCCTCGTCAGTGTGGGTATGAATTGGCCTCAACTACTCATTAATAAATGCTGAGGCTACCCTATTTGATAAATTTTGCGACTTCTTAAATCTGGCAAATGTATCAAGAGTGATGTATCTGGCAACAAAGTTGTAGCCCGGCTTAAAAAGATAGCATGACAAGATACCTTCACCCTCGATAGGTGGTTCCGCGTATCAAGACGTAATGGTGCTCCACTTTTATGCAAACTCGGTAAACTATTCAAACAAAGAATTTGGCCCTACGGCTGAACAACCAGGCAACATCCAGTGACAGGGGACTGGTTTGAACTTTTACATGCTTACTGATGACAAATCCAATTCCTAGCGCACAAATGCTTCGGAACCAGCTGTTCCCTGCTTCATTGCTTCTTACCCATGGTGTTACCAAATCAAGATTTATCAAATAATTACCAAATTTTGTACCGTGCAACATACTACCCGTCCAAGAGTGTCAGTAAATAAGTCCTAAATATATATCGCATTGCGTCAGGCGCGGAGTCCACTATCTCCGTTTTTATTGATTTTGGATTGCTCACTAGCTTGTATTCCCAACCCTGACAATTTGGTAATCTTTCCACTGCGATAAACAGTTAAACCTACTGGGATAGACGCTTCATCTTGCTTCATGACATACCCTTGGGCAGCATAGGAAATTTGATTATCCAGGTGGTTGTCCACTCGGAAAATTTGTTATTATCAGCCAATAAAACAAGCATTTAAGATTTTGGATAAAATTTGTGCAAGTTGTTTCGAATTCCATGTAACAGACTGCGGGGAGACAGTTCGGGCAGGAGAACTTCGTTTGAGATCCTGCCAAGAGCGCACAAAAGACGATGATGTACTGCTGACTTATAAACAATGGGATAGTTACTAATTTTCGGTCCACCCCCTCCAAGTAGGATATCGGAAGTCGGCAACCAGAAGTGTTATCTTCTGAAGATGTCATTTCTCAGAGGTACGATTGTCAAGTGTTTTATCTAATTTTGGGAAACCACACAGTAGTAGACTAACGCTCCGGAAAGTGCACTCAAGTGTTCTGAAAAGCATAATGGGAGACTTGGAATCAATGTCTAATTGGCCTTGGTTTTACAAATTCGGTAGTGGCATTTAAACGCGGACATATTCATTTGATTTATCTAAAAGTTGTACATGGCTTTCATGACACTTGTCGTCAAGCTGGAAGGTATGTTGCTAATCTGTGCGTAAAACACGTTGCTGATGACGATACTTTTCGTTAAACCATCATTCGTTTGTGAGATCACGTGTTTATGCCGACACCTGAGACTTAATATCCTACCAACATAAAGGAACAAGGTCCAAGACACTTGGATGGACAAGAGGATGAATTAGTTACTTTTTGTAAGTAACTCTTATCCGCAGAATTTTCATGTTATTTGCTTAAGGACAGACAAAGTGAGCTTCAAGACCGGAATATTTAAATAATTTGTTGCGGCTGTCTACTTCCATATCAAAATCCTCGGAGGGAAACTACATAGAACTACTTGGTTCGGAGCACGTTAAGAGTCAAATCCCCAGGTCATGTAGCGAGCATCCTTTCAGCTACTTCTGTGCGCTAGTATATGCTTATCAATCAACAGTTTGGTAACTAGAATTTGTCGGCAAACAATTAAGGCAAAGTGAGAAACATGTGGTCAAATGGTTCATGATTGAAAGTAGAGGAGTAATCGAAACGAGAAATGTAAATATAATACTGATCAATGGCATGCATCTTGTAGTGCCAACAATAGCAACAAAAAGCTCTTTTGGCGCAAAACTGTACCGTGATCAGCTGTGTGTCGGTAAAACATGCCACCTCTAGCTTCTGGCTTGGGAAATGAATTTTCAAAAAGATTATCTACGTCGTTCACTAGAATGCACAATAGACTTTTGGTCTTATCACGGTTCTCCTGCTGGTACACTTCTAAAGTTTGGGGACTTACTCATCTTGCAACGTATTTGGTCAGTGTTCCCGCTTAGGTGTTACGTTGATGTTCGAGTGTTGAACTCTCGCATCAATACTATTTTTTGTGTTCTCATGCTCCTAAAGATTTTCATAATTTTATAAATTAATATTTTCTTTGTTTTTTTTCATACGTTGCAGGTACGGATGAAACCTTATGGGGGACTGGCAAGATGATGTCATTAAGTGGCTATATTTTGCAAATTAAACACGTGTTGTTCACACATTTGGTTATTTTGTTATGAGTCTGGAAATGCGAGATCAATGAAATCGGAGTAAAGTTTACTAGTTCCATGAAGAGTACAAGTGTAGTGCATATTTTCTTTTGTGGGTATTTGCACCTGCTCGCTCATTCTGTGATGGACATTCAGAAATGTTAACAATGTCAAATTACTATGTGCAGTCACCCTTAAACTGATCTTTCCAGGAAGCCAACCACATAACATGGGCTTCTATTGAGTAACGTGGAAATTCTCAGGCGCACTGTGAAACTGCGAATGAGGAGCCAGAGTGTAACTAATGCATCCTTGTGTGAGGGAAAAATGATTACTGGCCAATGGGCGAAAAGAGCAGATAAGTGCCTTTTATCAATCCATTTCCTTTTGTGAGTACCATGCGTATCGATGACGACTGCAGCAACCAAGCCACTAGTGAACTCTTGTGAAATACCATTCTTATTAAAATCGCCCCTCCTTCGAAATTATTCATAATATTAAGATAAAATATGCACCATAATTAGGACGAAGCTTTGTTACTAGGATCATGAAAGTCCTGCGTTCTCGAGTTTCAGTGGCTTCATTACCTGTATAAACCGTTACCGTAAAAAAGCAGTTCAACTACAGTTAAACACGCAGAGATAAGGAAGGTAAATCAGCTTCAAGGCATACCCAGAGTCTGTTTCGACTGAGTGCATGCACCCGATGAGGGTGGATGTATCGTCTTCAATAATACCTCATAAACACCAAGTAAACGGGGATTATGATATAGCAATGTCAAAGTGGAGATGATGCGACTTTTATTGCAGCAGCGCTCCGCAACTGATAACACTAAAGTTAACAAAGAAGCAGAAGAAAATTCAAACGGTTCTTAAACGTTCTAATTCATTGATATTGATGTTAATCAAGAATATCCCGTCGCAATAAACCGGTGAATCAGTTTGTGATTTTATATCCTGCACTAACAAATCTCCCGTACAAATTTGCTAACTTGTTCACCAAACTAGAAATTCCTTTGCTGAAATTTCATAACAAATGATATCCTTCATTCAAAACCATTAAGCAAATACTGCACAGAGAGTTCTCTAACAGTGATTATTAGCAAAACACAGGTTCAGAAACTAACATAATGGTACTAGGCCGAAATGCCTACTGAAGATTTTGCAATGTGCCATCGATTCTATTGGGCATTTTTTTGTCGGTCAGATCCACCCGAAGGCTACTAACTGAAAACATCTTACATCCGTAGTATCTGCATTCCCCCTGTTTTTCAAAACGAAGTAATTTTCCATCCGCAGAAGTGAGTTTGGTTTCCTTGATAATCATCTGATTTCATCGTGAACCCCATGACCGATGAACTTTCGTAATAAAGCCACCAAAAAGGCAGACCGTTCGACTGTCAATAGTATTTGCACATCTTATCCGTGCTTTCCAGACCGAAACCTAGTAAGTGAAATGGATGTAAAAATTTCCCAAAGATATCGAAAATGTGCAGTGTTACGATTCTCTCTAGTGCTCCGCCAGCTGCAGTACTGATAAAAACAGTACCCGATATTTCTGGCATCATAACTAATAGAGTGACTTGGCCTTGGAAAATTCAGGGTTTACAAAACGCACCCAGCTCACTTAAAGGCGTGAAATACTTGTGACGAACTTTTTCGCTTTTTCTCGCACCATTCTTTCTCATGCTTCAAGGTAACCAGTGACAACAATATGCTGGATTCGGAAGCTTGGAACTGCATCAACAAAACTCAAGCGAACACAGGTGGATGCGCTCTGCTTTCCCCCAGTAAACTCTCGCACATTTTCGGGTAGGTAACATAGTGCACCGAAAAAACATTAGGGAAACCGGTATGTGCCAAATGCCGAGGAAAAAATAATGAATAGATAAGAAATTCTGTTCGTTTTGTGGGAGAATTCAATGATCTGGCAAGAAGTTTGTATCCATTTTTAATTGAAATCCCTCCAAGGAGCCTGAGAGAGGCGTGCTCTTGGTCCTAATGATTCGAGTCCGTTTACTGACGATGTTCCAAATGTCCTGGTTCGCTTACCGCACATAACTTGCGGCATTCACGCAAGTACCAAGCAAGTCCAGGTAACCGACAGTTCCCTACAAAGTTTGTGTGATATCCATTACAGTAGTAGGTGTGATCTTAGGAGACTTTGTCAAACGTTCAATCCTGTTAAGTGTTTCGCAGCTGCAAAATCACAAAATGTATCGTGAAAAGTGAAATAACTCTATTCAGTGCCCAAAAACTTGCTTTACAATATCAATAGTCAAAATCTAAGGGCAAGATACAATTAAGAAATTAGTGTAAAGCAAATGTAGCAGAGCAAATCCATTGCCTTTTTACTACTGCATCTGCATTATTCTTTACTTTGATTTGGATATCCTATACTGATGGCACAGCCTACACAAAGTTGTTTGCCATATTCTGACGTAATTTTAGGCCAGGGACGAGGTAGCTACGTGAAACGATATCAGCTACAAAATGAGTCCAATGATTACTGGGCTTTGAACTCCTATGACCTTGTAGGTGACGGGAGTAAGTGGCACTGTTACATGTCAGAAATGCCAAGATTGTCTCATTTAAACGAACATAAGCAGTGAAATCCCATAATTATACTTCTTGTGCCTGATCACCCTGTCACCATTTTCCAGTCAGGCGGTACCATGAATCCAATGGGTTGTAAGTAGTTCTGCTCATTGATCTCGCTGAATGTCCGAGCACATTCCAACGTTTAAATATGAGGGTTCCCGAACATTCACTTTGCATTGTTGGTGTTGTAAACTGTCTACCACGTATGTCAGAAACCTTGCGTAGATTCCTAGGAAGATTCACCATAGCCAGATGCTTCTATGAGAACAAAATTAGGCACATTTTGCATGAAGGCTTGTGTACTTTTGCGAGAATACTTGCATCAGAGCTGTTGGGATGTCGGCAGTAAGAAAGTTGAAGTGTTTCATGACGATCCCAGCTATTGAAGACCCGAAATCTAAAATGCACTATGGATAGTTCGGGACTCTAGAGACTTTGAAACTATTGTCAGCCTACAGAGAAGGCTGCTTCAATAAAAGATCGATCCTCAAAAGTGAAGACTTCTAATTATTTCACTAAAGAGTATTTCAATTTTTAACCACGTCATGCCATCAGTGTCCCTAGAACCCTCTTAATAGATTTGTTTCTGTCTGTTCAAAAAAAAACCTATCCACCATGTTTTTTTATTTGCCTGTTTGTACACTGAAGTGAGCAATATCCATAACTGTTGATGTATAAGAGAACAATAAGTCGGCTTTTGGAGAGGCATCAAATGTGGCCAAATTATCTATACTACAAGGTAGATCATTGCACCAGACATTGTCTTCGTCTCCGATGCTTTTGAGCATGTCAAATAAGTTTTCACTGCAAACTTGATCGAGAACTCAGCGAGTCAGATGGGCCTTCCGTTCAGTTTCTACGTCAGATAGCCACTGAACGGTACGCAAGGTCTCCCACTAACTACCGGTCACTCATGGCTCATAAATTTAAAACAATGCTTCAAGCTTCTTAGTGCCAAAAATAAAGGAATCATTCTTGTACTAAATTGGTGACACTGCCAAAACCTTGTTCAGGGTCCTCGAAAAAATGATCAATTATAGGAGTAGATGGATGTTCGGTGTATTCGTTTCCATTCACTTAATGTGTTTAATGCGATATATCCCAAACAACACGTAATACACCCCAGGTAAGGCAGTATTTATGTTTTCAACTGACAGGGTGTCCCCGAAAAATGGTCATATTTATTTTAATAACCAGGTTGACAGTTTTATTTGTTCATCATGTTATAAGAACACTTATGTTGTTAACGAAGCATTGTCATTACAAAACATGAGTAAAACCGAACACAGCCTCTTCTCTATTTTTCACCTATTGTTAATCAGCCCAGAGCATGCACCCTAATATGAGCCTGTATTTCGTCGTCTTATATTCCGTACCTCTCAGTGTTTAATACTCCAGGATTTACACAGTACCTACCAGTGCACCAGCAATAGGTCCTGAGTAACAACAGAGTGTGGGGCTTCTGGCTGGACTTTAGGTTTTTTGTTTTGAACCACTCCCAAATTTTGCTTGTCATTGAGCATAAAACAGTCATTCTGGATCCTAAATCCATGGCAGTATCCGATGTGGAATACAAGCAAATCCACGAGTTTCTAGATAGTCTTGTTGTTTAACTTTGTGATCACTGAAATCTTGCAACGAACGCTGGAAGGTCTCCAAAACCCTGGCGTTCAAATAGCGTGTGACGAAAAACTTGTCGATCTGAAATATGCAGACGACATCGTTCTCATCTTCGAAGAGGTGAAGGCGCAAGTGTTCTTGAATGAATTGACCAAAGTCATCTTGTCCTTTGGTGTGCACTTTACACCCACAATCTGTGACGTCATGCTTCTGGACATGCAGTCACTGAACACGTCACTTACAACCCAGGGAGAGGTACTGGACGTTGTGGAGCGTGTGACGTATCTTCGAATTTGTATTATTTCTAACTGCAGTGTGATGGATAAGCTCAATGCACGAATCTACAAGGCTCGGGTCGCGTTTGCTAACTTGAGACACCTAAGGCGTCAAAGTGGTGTATCCATGAATCTAAAGCTACAACATGGGCTGTTTTGTTGTACGGTTGTGAGACTTAGCTGCTTCGGGCAGCGGGACCAAGACGTCTTCAGGTGTTCGAAAATCGTTGTTTCAGAACCATAGCTCGTGTGGGTTAATGTCGGCCTATACGTAGTGAGGCAGTTAGGAAGCGAGTTTTCGTTTTTGCAACGGGTACTTCCACTGAAGAATGTGTCCAGCACCAGAAACTGAGTTGGTTGGGACATGTGTTGCGTTTGCCTAACCATCGTTTGCGGAGAGTTCGCTGTTGTTTCCATACCCAATTTAGAGTGGTGGAAGCATAGGTGGCCAGCACTTGACCCAGAAGGTAAATACGAAAGAAATCACGAAACATTTGGTTACTGTTGGTGCTGCTCGCCTTCCAGGATCGGGTCCACATGGTTTGAGACGCTGCATGCTATGGCTGGCAACTAATGTCAGTGGCAATCTTCTTGTCAGTTTCTATCCGGATTGCCTGAATGAGTGTCTGGAGGTACAGGTATCTCGGAATGCTTGTAGTAAGCCAGCACTAAGTCCCTTCCCTGTCCACGTTTATTCTTTTCTTCACAATAAGGCTTTCAATTAAATCATGGTTTTACGGCAGTGAAGCATTGGTGTTGAACACTGATGTCATGCTGTCGATAATGATGATGACTTGCTGGCTAATATTCTTGACTGCAAAATTACCTTTGGAAAGCCTAACAAACCTTTTTAGCAGCAAGCAGAGAGCAGGATACTTTCTTCAAACTTACTTCCAGGAATCAGGAAAATGTAACCTCCACTTATCTGGGTTTCTAGTGTAAAAATGGTAAATCTGCTGCTTAAAATTCTAAAACTCAACAGCTATCGTATGCACTCCGGGAAAACTCCTCTAGTAACTGATTCCGCGGAGTCTTTGTTGCAGGCTTTCCTTTAGGAATGGAGAATAGTCTTCGCGTCGGACCAACAAAAATCCAGGAACTGAGTGTTACTTATGTCGGCTTGATGTATCTAAAATCGAATGTACTAAGTTAAACAACTTGATTTTTGTCGGTTTATTTAATAAATTGTACTGGTTACTTTATTGAGAGCAAACTTCTCGAATTATAATGCATTTTGGTCCGAAAAACAACACGTCTGTTAACTTTTTTATTTTGTTCAATTTCAAAGAAACAGAATCCGGTTAAAAAAACATACCCACGTGTCTTTCACGAACGATATGTTTTATTTATGCGCGCAAAAGAGCTAATTAGCGAAATCCCAGACAGCCACCCACAATGGTCATCCTAGCACTCAGACTACTGTGGAAAAATACCTGTTGAAGTAGCCAATCTGAAAAAGGGCAGGTGAAATTTGTACACTACACTCCACTGCACAGCATGAAGTACCGTAGATTGTAAGATATTCATAAGAAGGTAAGTGGTTAAAAAGGATTCCGGGAGGACTAGATAATTTTCTTTTATTTACACAAGCAGAAGTAAAATAAGTCACGTTGGATCACTTGCAACATAACATTAAGTGTTGTCTTGTTATTCCCATGGACAGAAAAGCAATTATGCTACTTTTTTTGTTTCATATGTTTCAAAGGCTTTGGAGAAATTAAAACCTTACCGAGAAGTTTGGTTTCCGATAAGTGGCGCATATTTAAATACGACTCATCCCAACTGACCGCACCTCACTCCATAAACAGGGACTAATTAGCATTGTTTCCTCTAGTGATATAAGAACTTCAAGTGTAGCCAGCTGATTGGACACAGTAGGTCGGAAACCTTTTTAAACCGGGGTGTTTATTATACGTTCACTTATCTCAGTAAATCCACTATCGCACTGCAAACCGCTGGAGATTATATTGTTCTTCGAGAGACCAGATGACCAACTACGTACTCTGGTATTCAGATTGTTCTGACAATCTGGTCACTAGAAAAGGGATATTTCTTGCAAAATCTTTAAACATTTAATGCTGTTGGTTGGTTGCATAACATCAAGGTTAATAGCCTTCCACCGTTGTTCAAAGGGAACCGTACCAATACATGCCCCAAATAAAGTCGAAATTCCTCAATAGGTCAACTCGGAGTAACCTAGCACTTGTAGAATGCAGCCCCTAGTCTTGACGTGAGTTGCTGATATCCGTTGACTGTGCATCGCACTGCCCACCACAGATCATTTATTCTTTTTTCTATGCTTTGCCATTTTTACACCATGGCTCAATAGAATGTTTCAACGAGGATTTAGAATAACAAATAGCCAGGAGAATGAGATACCCGAATAAGTCAAAGAAACAGATGATTGTACTCGGCTACACGTGGTATCTTATTTACATATTTAGGCTGAGTTGCAGTAACACTATGAAGAAGACAAAAACAGTACATGATAGTATATCATGAAGTACATTTTAAAATAGCGTCAAGTTCCTTGTAGTTCATTCTCAATCATCCGTGCGTTTCATTTTTGCCTACATAATTTGGTAGGTGTAATGGTTTCGGCAGTGTTTTAGTGCAGGAACCTCACGTTTGGTGATTTGCATTTCTTGCAACGTCAAAGGCGCATATCAGTGGGTATCGAAAGTCACGTGTGCCGAATTACAGTAGGGACTGTATTATCGTATATTTAGGATACATCCCAATTACGGACAGACAGTTAAGAATGTCTCCGGTCTTTTTACCCCCGACGTCTCAGAGGCGTTTCCTTCCAAACGAGGTCATTTGAAAACAAGTATCTGGTTGTGCGGTAGATACTTCCACCACGCAGAGCCTCCAGCAAGATGAACTGCGTTGGATCGGTTATGTACCATGCATGCCGAAACATCGTATTCCGAGGTAAGTCTTGTTCTCCCCCTCTTCAGAAGAACGGAACATGCGGGATAAACAACGCTGAACTTGGTATAGAGTGGGATTATCGTGATGCCCTCCTCACAGAGCTTGATGAGAAGCATTGGAAAAAGTGGCAGTTCACACTAAAAACGTCTCCTCCAACGGCGATAAATAATTTGCAGCGTGTCCGATAGGTTACCGACGACCTGATGAACTCTCAATAAATCCAGTTTAGCTACCATTATTCCAACCAATTGCCCGTAAAGCCCCGTACTGGATTATATAACTTTTACTAGAACTACTCGGCTTAAAGGAAGAATATGCTTTGGAATTCTAAAGGAAGCTTCCAGTATGTGCGTTGGTGCACAGAACAATCCATGAAACTATGGGCACTGTCCAGTATTGAAAAAAAATGTAGAGGGCGTAGGACAGTCAGCACTGCTACAGAACAGCCGGAGTTACATTACTAATCATACAAGTCTGTGTCGCTATTTGGTGCATTTTTGTTACTTTCATCATTACATTATCACACTGATAACTGTTAGTAACGCTCACGTATAAGATATACTATTAAAGGAAGGTTAAAAGAGACGGCGGCAGCTGGAAATCATCTGATTCTGTTGTTTTAAGTAGCAGTGAATGCAGGTTGATGTTGTCAATTAACAACTACTGTAGTAGGCAATAACATTCGCCTGAACAAATCGTGCCTGATTTTTGTGGGGGATTTCGTCCTGTAAGTGGAGCCAATCTATGCTGAAAAGCCGAGAAGCACTATGCAGCCGTTTAATCTTTATTGGGAATCATCAGCAGTGCGCATCTCACGAAATTCCGAAAAGTCTCGAACCCGCGACCTCCCGGCTAGTAGTTTGAACACAACCGTTCGGCCAGTCGTGGCAATTTCTCAGGTCCAGTAAATTGCAAGGTAGAGTAATTGCCAAGTGGAAAGTAGAGAATGAATGGAGAATTAAAAGCAAATTAACTTTAAAGTTTAGTCGTGTCATGTAATGATCCAACAATTTGTAGTAAAGTACCGTACGGCAGTAAAGCATCAGTGCTGAAGAAAGTACCGTGTACTCGCTCCAGTCACGCCGAAATCTTAATAACTGACACCAAACTGTGCCGTGGTTGACTAAAACGGTAAGGAAAAAATAAAAGTAAGGGACAGGGTGGAATAGCAGTTTAAAGGGCCTGAAAACAAATTACATTCCTGATCCATTATTGTGGGTTGTATATCTGTTTCCCTACAAGTAAATAGTTTGATGTTTTAAAGTGAAAAATGTTACGATTTTATATCTAATCATTCAAAATTTACAGAAGAAAGTTTCAACCAATTTCACAGATCGATGTTCCGCTCGCAAACTTCAACTTTCTTGAGCAGTCGCAATTTCGATCCAAGGGAGTTTTATGGAGGCGATTTCACCCCAATGCGAACATGTATGTCGGAGCCTTAAAAACTCTCCACGGACTGGCAGCCACCAAGCGTTTTCTTAGTAGTACTCCGCCCACAGTTTTGACCTAAAGTGGTCTGACATCATTATGGATATGACGTAAAGTGTCAATCACCAAAATCGGCCCAGAAACTGTGGAGATCCACTCGAATGTGCTCATTCTGATGTGGTTTTTTATAAAATGTCCACAATGGGAGGAATATTTTATCGATTCACCAAGGCTACTTACGACATAAGCAGGAGATTTAGCATGCAACACACACCTAAGACACATATGTGTTTTGCACCAAAAGAAACTGACTGTTACGGTTTGAATGAATAAACGAATTAACGGATCTTTAACGGAAAATCACACTGAATACCAGCTGGATCTCTCATTTGTTGTATTTTCTGATTAAATGTTCTTCATGGGGGCCATCTAGTGTTTTAGTGGGTACAATATTCAAGACGTCGCAATGCATTATACTGAGGGAACATAGATTATGAGGCTGCTAGATGCTGTCCTATTTGGTTTTGTTTTAAGTGTCGCCTGGAACCCAGCTGAATTTTGCGTTATTAATGTTCTTATGTAGCTAAACATGCTGGACCTGACAGTCTTACGTTTCATGTAGGATGGGATTCAAGATAATGCAGTGAATTGTAGAGATGTATACGCTACCTAAATCCCTCGAATTTACGTAGAGGTAGAAGGAAGGTTGAAGGAAACTCGGATAATTTGCCTACCTAATGAGTCGATGTCTGTCGGTGAGTTTTCAACAACTCTATGTTTAGTGTATTATGCTACCAAAAAAGCTCTTTGGCAGCTTACAACCGGTTCCACCTTCCTTTTGACTAACTAGATGGGCAGAGATTCCAAGTTACCACCAAGCTTATGTTTGCCTAAATCTAAACTGACAAAATACATATAGATTTGCATGGAAGAACCATAAGGACTTTACCGAAGATGTGGGCATAAAAAGTCGGCCTGGATTATCAAGCTCCCAATGACCTTTTGGGTAGTGCTCTGTCGATGAAATGACATGACAGTGATTCAGAAGAAGGAATAGCAAATAGAAAAGGAATCACAACTGTAAAATGTCTGGGAAGGACATGTTGGGAGTTCCATCAAAATGATATGCAGTTTATTTTGGTCTTGGAAAGTTTTCGCCCATCCTAAGCGGGCTGTATATCTTTTTTACGATGTATCCACAACGTTCAGGCAAATTAATGATGTAATGACGAACAAATTTTTACCTACGTCTAGAAACCAAATTTGTACACAAAAATATCAATAATGTAAAGGATGTTTCATGACCACAAATCCACTCATTACCCGTTAGTTAGCCGGCGTTTGCCAAGAGCAAATGTAGCGGAACAAACAAGACACCAAATAAAGGCAAACAACAGTCGTTTCAACTTTTCAAGTTGTCACTTTCATTTTTTGAGATACCTTCTCGTTCCCATAACAAAAACGCTAACAAAAGAGTTCCTTGTGAATAAACCTTGTTCTGAGGCCATGATGATCAAGTGAGTTGTCGTATATTCTTGTTACCATTGATCACAAGTTACGTGCGACGCTAAGATAAAAAGCATTTCAACACTATATCTAGTAAAGGCGACTTGGATATTTATAAGACCATTTTTAAATAGCGCTAAAAAACTTTCATTTGCTACAAGTGTTAACCTAAAGGCGCGAAAAGCATCCTTTAAAAAGTTTATTTGCTTTCATAGAGGAAACGTAGTGCATTGGGAGTCACCACGTTCGCTAATACAAAAAATAATACAAAAAAGTAAGCTTTCCATAATAATCTTTTTTATTGTCGTAAGTTGAGTCTCCAGGTTAATGGCGATCCAAGCATTGGTTGATTGGGTCGAATTTATTAGAACGCTTTTTTTACCTTGCTTTACTTCTTGGTTTCGTTCAGGTGACAAAACCCTAGCTATTTAGCTTTCTAGCAGATTCAATTTTTTGCTTGTGAAAGCTTTCTATGCGGAATTACGTCTTCATCTAATCAGGCATAGAAATCTGAAACGCTTGGCCTTTTGTTTTGAACAGAGTTTGAAAATTTGAGGTTCGTGCCGTATGAATTGAGTAGGACGCTACATGAAAGCCATCAAGAATCACGAAGAGGTAATCTGGATGTGCAATACAATCAGAAATTTCCCTAATAGCATCTAAGGTTTTGTGGATGAGATTAAATGAACGAAAGACAAATTGTTTAAGATGTCGATACAAATGTCTACGTTGTACAAAATTCGGATACTGTTTAGTATCTAAGCCTTGAGACTTCCGTATAAAAAGTTCGCCGGAAACTCATTGTCAAGCCTTGGTTCAGTGTTTATTTATCCTCATTCAGCGAAGTCTCCACGCATAAGTTACCATCTTCCAAGCAGAATGGGTGAATGCTTCTAAAGGTTGTGTGGCTGGAAAGCCATTTATGGTCCCAAAAATGAATGCATTACTCTAATATTGTAAAGGAAATCCCTCCAGCTTGTCAGGCATTTGATGTGTGAATACAATAGGTGTTTATATTTAGGAGGAATTTTATTTCTAAAGAAATAAAACGTGAACGCATATCTCCAAAATATTTGAATACGCTTGGCCTATTGGTTCACACGACAGTCCGGGTCGTAGAGTGGAACTCACTTTTGACATATAATTAGGCCTTTTTGTCTGTATAATGCTTCAGTGTATAGTGTCTAGTGCATGCCAAAGGATTAACGGAAATTCAACTACGTAGCCAAACAAAATGACGAATTGAAAGCATTTGACTACCTGGTAGGGTATGTTTAACCCCACTGGCTGCAACAATCGTGAATCTGCCAAAAGGCAAATTAGAGCATTCTGGCACATTACAAACTCCCCTGTGGTAAAACAGTAGCAATTACCGGCAAGTGTCGCCAAAAGCCAGAAACTTTTCAAACAAACTTACGAATTATAGAGATATTTCAGGTTTTTTCTTCCAAGTGAATAGGTCCGAAGGGTTGCAGAACGGAATCCGACGAAGTTTGTTGGATTTGGACAATGTGCCAGATGTATCAGATTAGTTCCTCTCTGCGGTGACACACCAAAATTCTCCCCCCAACAAATCAGCATTATCACTTAATTAAAGAGATTCGTTAAATGAGATTCGTCCAACTTCCTCAACCGAACAAGAGATCAGGCAGTGTAATGCTCTGTCCCGCTGACTATTTATCAGAGATGATACTCGTTTTCTCAGGAGGGAAATAGTTCACATTCGGTCCAACACGCGGAAATATTCTCTTCGAAATACGGATAGCCAGTAACCCTTAAAATGTGCTTCTACATAGGTGATTCGCCAATTCGTGCTTGCAATACAAAATAGAGCAAAGTGAGATCTATGTGAAATTTCACAATCGTAGTTTCATCCGCACCACTATTACACAAACACAGTTTTTACTGCTATAAACTGCCGCAACAGTTGGTCGATCTTCACAAGTTCGACTGGACAATAACAACACTTTACTAATTGAAGCAAACTTTGAAATGCATTGGATCGTCGAAGAGGAAGCAGCATGTTTTGAGTTTTGCCAAAATGATTCCAGGTTCCCTAAGTTGTTTCCCACTAGTCTGCCCTTTCGTCAGCCGTCGTTGTTTTCTGTGAGTGAGTAACTAATCGAAACATTCGAAACAAAGTCGTCCCACCTGTCACACAGCATGATCGTATCCGCCACCGTGACGCAGACATTCGTTTCGATTTCGGAAATTTCGCGTAACGACGGACCGAAGGCGTTGCTATGGGAAGTGGTTAAGACCACACGCTCATATGCTGCAAATGTGATAAATGGTAAACGGGCGAACACCAAAGATTATGGACACTGTGTAGGTAATGGTGCTATCTTCACTAAAAGCATTGAAAGTTATTTGTACACTACAATGTCAAAATGTCACCTCCCAAATGCCATGGGCAATTTTTTTAAAGATTCCTAAAGGGATTTTGCGGGGCGGAAATATTTGAAAACACAATCAGATGCACAAAGAAGAACCAAGTCCATCTAGAACATTTTGTCAGAATACACAGTCTTCTTTGAGCTTAGCCGAACCCGGTCGCTACTGTGGAAATGAAAAGGTGTTCTTGCAGTTAGATATTGTGACGATAGCGCAAACAATCGGCGTTTGTGACTAAATAACGAAGGGTGTTGGGATTATACCTAAGAATGCAAAGACTGACTTCAGCCAGACCCATTAATGGAATACCAAAACATTATATACCACTGGACAGTGATACTGGTTCTTCAAACTTCCAAATGCGGTGATCTTCGGACTTAAACTAGACTGAGCCTAATCGCGTTTGATACATACTCAGCACGCAATATATACATCAAATCCTTGATGTCTGCTTCTCAACTCGAAAGACTGTTTATTAGATAGGGATTACAGTATCTGCTTACAGAAAACTCTTACGCAAACTCACATAGTGGATACATGACATGAGATAAATTTACAAATTTTGCCTCGGAACGTACTCACAGGATCTAAATTGCCATATAGCTAACGTTGGTCAGCAAAACGAATGGTGCTGCATAAACACCTCGTGTAAGGCATTAAGCTGATCAGAGCAATTTTGCTTCATGCTCTTAGATTTGCGCCTTGAGTGCTAAAATGAAGTCAGGAAATGGCGAAGGCCTTTAGCCATGTTTTTTGAAGCGATTTATCAGCAGCTACGAAGAAGTCACCACTGATAGCTTTGTGTACGTGACCATCGTTATCCGATGCCAGATTGGTCGCTTGCACTCCACATGTGCTTGGTAATACTGAGACGCCAGGTAGGAACAAAAAGCTTACTGTGCTAACTTGACCGAGAGCACAGAACACGAGTAAGCCCACGGCCTTACATCCTGACAACTGTTAAGGACTTTGGGGGACCAACCTCCGATCAATCATCAATGCTTTTACAACATAAAAATTAAGTCGAACTACAACCTGTATTATCCTTGCTTGCTTGCTTACTGGCTTGCTTCAGCCAGTAAGACATTTGAAAACACGCAGAAATATCAAGCAAACAAAAAACGAATAACACCGAATACCGCAGATAAAAGACCAACTAAGGGGACTACATTTAGACATCCAATGAAAATTTCGCTGATTTTAATCTGATGAAATCCTGTGGTCTTGCAAAAATAAGAAGGCAATTTTTACTTCAATTTTAAGTAAGCTAAATATCTTTTGGCCGGAAGTTTAACATGTTGGTAATGTTTAACATGTCTAACCTAAAGGACGCTGGTTCGGTGGTTCGTGAGATGCACACTCCTGGCATTTACAAACAGACATTGAGCAGTTTTGCAAACAGCTGATCAGCTTTTAGGCGCCGAGACTAGCACTTGACGGATGAAACCACTCACAGTTTTGAAACGTAACAAAAGACGTTATATACTTCATTAATTGACATTTAAACTATTCACATAGCACAATGTGAGAAAGCTGTTTCTTGTGACCCCTAGTGCCAACGATGTCCCCTTTGCGATATCTCATCAGTAAACACATTACCGTGGCTTTTGGTGTCCTGAGAGGAAGAAGAGTCAAACTCCACTGAAAGAAAAAAGTAATATAAGTGAGATGTTCATCTCAACCTTACAATTCCTCACACCCTGTAATAATTTTCGGGTAAGCATATGTAAAACAAACCTCACCTGATGCGCTAAGAAGCATGCAGTGGCTACAAATTTGGATCATGCTAAACACAACAAAAAGTCTCAAGTTTTAGATGGAAAAAAACCTTTTTAATTGTGATTGTGACCTGTAAATTAAGCCAATCTACGCTGAAAGACCAAACAGTACTGTTCTCTTTCGTCCTTACTGGGAGTCATCAGCAGTGCTCATCTCACGGAGCTCAAAGGAATCCTAATATGCTCATATAGATCAATGCACTTGTGAAAGCAGGCACCGGTTCCCAGCAATCACTTGGCGGCATTTTAATGGATGCCGGTCAGTAAGAATGTTAAAGGCAAGCAACCGTGCAGAAACTAACTGACTCACGAAAGGTTGCTGAGGATTTAGCATGTAATGTGAAACAAAACTGGCCAAAATGTCTTACTAATCATCACGCGAAAGTGGGTCAAGGAAAAATTAAGTATGTGGAGCTGAAATGCGATCAGGTTTAATTTATATTTCGTAAGAATGGTATATCAATCGAATTTGGCATGCGATGAAATGTTGGCATGCAGAAATATTTTATATGGTTTTAGCCCCTAAGCCCTTATTACGCACAAATACGAAGGTAGAAAGTCCTCTAACTTACTGAAAAGCACTAATCTCTCAATCAATAATTTGCAAACAAAAACAGCCAGCATCTTAGACATGGGACTCGAGTAATCACGGGTTTTTGTTTTCTTTGTTGGATGTTATTCATTTATTGTGACGTTGCTCATTAGGTGGCAAATCAGAGGATTATCAAACTCCGTTTACGTGTGCGGTTGATCCATCAGTGCCACCCACTATGAGTTAATCTATGACTTGGAAAACAAACTGTGGTACAGTGTATACACACCTGTCAGGAACAATACTGATTCATTTAATTCCAAAAACATTTGCTGAATATCGCCAATGTGTTTGAGGTGGTTGTGTAGTTTTCCTTTCATCGTGTTGAAAATTTCATTTATCTCAAAGAAACGGTGATGACTTTTTCACTAGTTGAAACTTCTCAAGAATCAAAATTGTTTGTAATGCTAGGACTTGGTTATCTGACATTCTCTAACATAGGCGATAGTTCCGTTGTTTAAAAGAAGGGTAAAACAAGACAGACATCAGAGAGAATCGGAAAACCAATACTTAGTGCAATTGTTCATTCTAACTTGGCCACTATCTTTCAAACCTCGGATTTTTCACAAGTCGGTTCTTTGGATACGACTTTGTGTTTCACGGTCTTTATGGTCTTTATGGTCAGTGTTTCAATGCCCAGCTGTTTGTATTCGCAAACAAGAGCTTAGGTTCCCAGAAATATAAAAAATAATTGTCCTTGATCACCGTAAAACTAAAGTAACCGCTTCCCTTAATGAAATACTGACATCCATTTTTATGTAAGTAATAACATAGACATAACGATCCAGGGAAAATGCAACTGACTTCGCAAATGATGACAAATCCGAGGACGCTTAGCTGCTTTGTTGCCCATTTCATTCATACTACGTGGTCTTTCTAGAGATTACGTTTATCACAACAAAAGTGCGAATGGTACAACTGCCCAGCACGAATAATTTCCACATCTGGTCTTGGGAAATACATTAGAACAGCAACAAAAATTTTATCTGGTCTTGGGAAATACATAAGAACAGCAACAAAAATTTTATCTGGTCTCATTGAGTTGGCGATATTAATTGACACATGCATGCAACCACCATACGTTGAAGCTTAATATAAGAGCCCATCACTTGTATTCTAGGTGTGTAAATAAATTAGTAAAAGTGTCTCGTCTAGCCTTTTCTGGTTAGAGAGACTGCTTGTACGCAGCCCAGGACAAATTAAGTGAGCCATCTTTAGAAAACGTGTTCGTAAAAATTTTCGTGCAAATTATTTTACTGGTCAGTTGTTGACGCTCTGAAAACAGTCGATTGGAAATTATTTCCGTCCCAATGAGGAGTAGTCTACCTGAATTCTACCCTGAAAGCGCAAGAGAACTAGTCCCTCTTCTGTAAATAAGAATAAACCACCATTCATCAAGTAGTTTGTGATTTTGCGTCCCGTGATCAGTTACCATGTTGCAGTCATGGGGTGTCTGCAGTTTTGAGCAGTCTCCTCTTGTAGCTTGTATCAAGACAAAAAGTTGACCGAATGATCTCATGACCTTATCAAGGGCACTAATACTAATAATAATAATAATAATAATAATAATAATAATAATTTTTGTTGTCTCGTCTCTAGGTTAGTACATATTTAGCAGTTAAAATGATGAGTAATTCATTTCGATTCTGTGGTTAGTTCAAACGCGGAGCAATACATACTTCCTGAAAGGAGAGAATAATAAAATCTCATCTTGTGGTACAAGATTGCTCTATAGGTGCGCTGAGTGAGTGAATTAGCTGCGTGTGTCACCCGACCGATGCCAGGTGGAATTTTGTACCAATCACCCGGTCTTAGAACTACATGGTGACCAATTCAGCTGTTACCGAATCATGCATCTGAATCAATTTCGGTACCTACACTACATTCTGCAGACCATGCTGCCATTCTCAAATACATGTGGCTCGACCAGGCTTTTGCCCGTGATGATAGTAAAGTTATTCCGACGTAAAAGGTGTTCATGTGTACTCTTAATGAGTATTTCGGTCGTGTGTGCAACATATTATTTCAGCTGTAGCTGAATCATGCCATATGAAAAGAAACGCACTCAACGATATTCTGCCTTTGGACTGACACTGTCCTATTAAAGGTAAATTTGATCAGTGGTTTTGTGTTAAATAATGATCTCATTTTTACTTCCGAGAAAGTTTTTAGGAAGATTGGAAGATGCGGCTACTGGAAGTCTGCGATCAGGCGGCAAGGGTCGTTGTTTTCGGTTTATGAGTTCCTAAAGCCACATTTTTATTAATAATCTGTCAGCACCAGCTGTTAGTATGACAGCGATGCACTTGGGTTTACCTTCTAACGTGGCATCAGAATACAGCCCCCCGTTTTGGTTCGGTTCGGCTCGTTTAGGTGGAGACCATGAGTTTCTTCTACCTTGTTGGCATAGAACTATCGAATTGTGTATCCGCAAGTCCACATGAACCTCCTGTGTACAAATCTATGCAACAAATCCGTCAGATCGATTTCCCAAAACAATAAACGGAATAG